GCCCGAAAGCTTTCCTCCCAGAGCCACGGCCAAGGAGACTGGGGTGACGTCCAGCTGTGATGCCCATGGTTAGCGGGACCTTGTCCTGGCCGTGAGAACAGGTGGGTCTTCCGGAAGCTCCTGTCTTGCACCTCCGCGTGGGAGTCCACGATCTTCCCAGTGTTCCCTGAGACGCTCCTCTCCCCGCTGAAGAGAGCAGGGCCTCAGGGGTGTCCTCTGCCCACTGCACGTACACTCGGCGACATTGGGGGAGCTCCTTGGTTGCCTACCAGCCTTGCCGAAGGCCTCGTTCACAAAGAATTGGCAAAAGCATTTCAAAGCATTTCACCGAGTGAACGTGTGTGCGTCAGTTTGTGAATCCCGGCCAACTAGAGCTTCCGTTTTGGGGAAGCGGGGACGGAGGGTCGCCGACTGGCCATCCTTGTTCCCACTGGTCCCCCTCTGGCCCTGCCCTGTCCACGTGCAGCGTGGGCGTGGCTGGCGCTCTTAGCCCTGGCTCAGAAGCGTTGGATAGAGCGGGTTCTTGCTTTGGGGCCTGAGGTCACGCTCTGCTGGGTCTCCCTGGCCTTCGGAAACGATGGCTCAGGTCTCAAAGGTGACGGATGACAGGAGAGCCATTTCCAGAGTCAGGCCCCCCGGGATCCAGCATGTACAGTAAAGTGGGTGTTATCTCTGCCCTCGGAGGCGGAGATCCTAAGCTTTGCCCCTGTCCTACCAATTAAAACACTGAAGTCTAGAATGCCAGCTCCCTTCTGCACACGGATCCCTCAGGCTGTGTGTCCTCCAAGGCCTTCCAGGGCGGAAGTGAGTGTCAGCTGGCTGCTGTGGGGGGTTCCCCGTTCCTGCCGAGGACCGGTGGGGGGGGTCCAAGCTGAGCATTACGTCTCCTGGGTTCTTTGTGACTTAAGAAGCCGGCGATTGGCGGCAGGCCCGAGCTGGCCGGCTTGCCCGTTGTTCTGTACCGGCACACGCGAGCCCGTTTTTCTGCTCCCTGCAGACCCTCCTCTGATCGGCATCTTATTCCTGTGGCCTTTGTGTCTGAGAAATGGTTTGAAATCTCCTGCTGACTGGCCGAAGTCTTGTGTACCTCCTGGGGGCAGGGCAGACGCCATGTGTCTATTTTATGGTACGTACCTCTTTTTCTGGACGTTGACTGATTTTGTTTTTCCCCTTTGCCTCACCTTCCCCAACCCCGGGATAAGTGGGAGGCCTTCTGGACATGGCAGGTGGTGTGGCCGTCATGAATGCGAGCCGGAGGGCTGGGCTTGCGGTCTCTCTGCTTCACTTGCTAGAAATGCCCCAGTGGAGGGGAGGGACAGACAGGCAGGGACGCGGACCAGCAGGGAAACCCGGCCGCTCAGCAGGCAGAGACCAGGGCAGCGGCCACACGGGCAGGTATCACACCTGCATCGAATGTCTGTACGTCGACGGGGGAGGGCACAAAGCAGAATTAAAATATAATTTTGGAATATAAAAATAAGAGATAAGAAGGCAAATGATAAAGGAAGCAAGCAAAGGGTTGAGACATCTACTAATTTGAAGCCAGGGACCGGCACCAAAACAGGATGAATTTTCCATGCTCTGCTGAATAGGAACATTTGGTTTGCTTTCAGTGATATTAACTTTAATGCTAACGTTAAATTGCTTTCTTCTGCACCGAATCTCCCGAACACTCGGGCTGCTGGGGGAGAAAGAGCATTTCGCCCCCATGACTGCACGCTCTCCACGCGCAGTTCAGTAGACGCAACCCGCGGGCTGGGCTCTTTGGTTTTGTCTTTCTTTTTGAGGCTGGGTTTTTCTCGTCCACAGATATTCTGTGACATCACACCCCTTCCCTGAGTAGGGGACCCAGTTTCTAGGATGGGTTATCGGGGTCTGAAAATACCGCTTCCTCCGCTCACCTCCTCACGCGGGGCTCGTGGTCAGAGCGGGCAGAAGGGCAGAGGCAGGAAGGTGTTTCCTCGGGACACACGTGTGCTCCTCCAAGAACTCGGCTGGCTGTGTGTAGACGGGGGCCTGTGGGAGCCATCAGAAATAGGGGTGTGTGTCGGTGGGGGGGGGGAATTCTGTGCTAATCCAGCCCTAATGAATCGAGTGTTTGCTCCAAATCAAATCTCCAGCCCTCACTTCCTGTCCCGAAGCCAAAATGACCTGCTTAGCGTGATGTTCAGCCAACGGGCAAAGAAACGTAATTAGATTAGAAAAGAAAGCACCCCTCCCTTCCCCCGCCCCCCACAAACGGCCTTTGTTGAGACGGTGCTGGCAAGTTAGGGAAAGCGCAGTCTCGTCCGCGACCATTCAAGAGCCAGATGCGCCTCCGAGGCCCATCCGTCAGACGCTCATGCCTCCGTCTGCCTCGTCGTGACTCACCTCATTAAGGCCAGGGACAGAGCGCCCTTTGGAGCTCCAGCCAGGCTGGCAACGGGGAGCTGCTTCTTAGGAGCGGGGTCCCCGCCGGCCTGGTAAAGCCTCTGCAGGATGGCCCGGTGGTCTCCAGCATGCCTCTTAGGATTTGACAAATGCATTCGAGCATAAGACATTGGCCTGGTCCCTGCACGTCAGGACCCCAGCTCCCCTCCTTCAAGAGCCTAGCAGTGGGCATGCCCTACCCTCCAGGCAGCCCCCGCGGGGGGTCAGTTTCCCTAACGTGGACCCTCAGGGGGCACTCACGGGACACTCTTTCCATCTAGAGATTCATATTGTCCTCCCGGAAGTGCCACCTACAGAGGAGAAACAGGCACGAGGCAGTTAAGTGACTTGCCTGAGTTCAGTCAGGTTGCACGTGGTGGGGCCGGTCCGACCCAAGGCGGCCTGGCTCTGCCCACCATCCGAGAGCCTCAGTTGTGCCCCCCGTGCTATGAGCTGTCTGTCCCCCGTGCCACCCCCTGCCCAGCCCCACGCGGGAAGAGAGCTGGTGGCCGACGAAGGTAGGCTTTCCCACGAAATCAGCCTCCTGGGACATTCAGCCCGATTCTGCAGCGTGGGAGCCAGGCAGACGAGAGACGAGCTCCTGAGTGCCGGAAGCCTGAGCCTACAGCCTTCTCATGCACCCTGAGCACTGAGCCGTAGCCCTGACTTAAAAAAACAAAAAGTAGGAAAGAGTGCTTTAATTTACTCTACTGCTCCAGAAAGCTTTGCTGTCTCCTCGGCTCAGCTCTCTCTTCAAGCAACACGGGGCATCGAAGGACCCCCGCAAGCTTGGCGGGCACTCCCCTTCCGCCACTCCCCGGCGGGCCCCGCCTGGACCACATTCCTCTCAGGGCGTCTGGACCCCACTTGTCTGGACCCCACTTGCCAGCTCATCCGAGGAGCTATTTCAGGACCACCTCCATTGGTGGGAGAGGATGCCTCTGTGTCCGAAGACCAGACCCACTCACTGTGGATCCCAGGGGGGCCGTGTCGGGAGGTGAGAAGAGCTGTCAGGACCTTCCCTGAGGCCGCCATGCACCTGTGGAGCTCTGGCCACCTTCTTTTCCGGTAGACGCAGACCAGCAGGGCTATGCAAACAGTCTTGTTAGCCTTTGATAAATGCTTAAAGATTCCGTCTCCACGTGCTGGACAGACTGTTTATCACTCAATGGGAGAAAAGCATTCCGATTCTAAGTATCCCTGATTCTTGCAATTAATGCCCAGACATGAGCATCGAGCGGAGAAGGGCCAGGAAGTTCGCTCAGATTTACTAGGGTACTTATTGTCCCTTAAATAAATAGCAATTAATACTAAAACATTTAATTAAGGTTTAAGAGCCAGCGGAGATATTTATCTCTTGCATAGCTGTTAAGCCTCTCCAAATGCATTTTTAATGATGATATAGCAGTTTGTAACCATACCATTGTGTCTGCTCACGCTAACCCCTGTGCACACGTGGGACCCAAGAGTGGTTAAGTTCGCTTCCCTGCAGGCTGATTGTTGGTGATGCTTGGGCTCCTGGACACAGGCACCTCGATGCGGGCAGATGTTCATCCTGTTTCCCTGATTCAGCCTCTCCAGTAGATTCCAGCAAATTCTTGCCTCAGACCACCTCCACAGTGGCACCCGTTGTTCTGGATGAGTCACGGTAAAGCTGACCTTCCCAAATACCAAGTAAGGGGACGAAGACACAGGCCTGCCGTTGGCTCTTGGGCAAATCTCCTGTCATTTTTCACGTAACAAGTAAACTTCCGAAAAGCTCATTAGTGTTCAGATCTTTTGCATTTGCCAAAAGGCCACTTTATTCCCAACGGAGCCTGAAAAGTAATAAAAGTTCTTGCATCTGAAGTCAGTACGAAATAAATCATGTGCCATTATTATTTTCAAAAACACACTGAAGACATAACTAATAAAAACCGAGAAATGCACCTGAGCCTTCCCACTTTGTTTTAAAACACACACACACACACACACACACACACACACATATCCAGCTTTTGTAATTCAGAGGAACGGTTTTTTCAAAGCAGCGTGCAGAAACCCCCTCTGCACACTGATCTCCAAGCTGCAGGCGAAGTCCGACGGAAAGTTCCCGTCAGGTTGGCAGAAACTGAGTGAGGAGCAGCCGCTGGCTCCAGGGCGCTCTTGCCTTAGTCTGTTGGTTCTTTGTTTTGCAAAAAGCAGACACTGCTCTTTAAACCTAGGACCCACCTTGTAGTTAGTCTGTCAATGGCGGGGCCAGGCGAGCCCAAGATCTCCTTCCAGGCAGCAGAGGGCACTAGTTTCTCCAAAGTCAGAATTTATCCCAGATCCCAATCTCTCAGATCACTTTGCAACACACAGCTTCCCTTTCTGGTGCGGACGCCCTCCCCCTGTTTCTCCCCAGCCAGGACGTGGAGGGTGGGGGGCTCTACTTGGCTATCTTTTCCTGACTGGCCTGGGATGCACATCCCTCTCTGGTCCCTCTCGGGTTAGTGCCCAGCTGAGAGGTTCATGCACAGAGTCTTTGGAACAGAAAACCACAAGCCCTCCCTGGAGCTGAGTGCAAGCAGCAGGAATGCGGGGCAGACTTGGAAAGTGGCTGTGGGTAGCCTCAAGCCCCTCCTCCTGGCCTGATGGGGTGAGGCCACCCTTGTGGAGACCCTTGCAGGGAACCCACCCACCTCTGCAGGAAGCCAATATTGCTCTTAAAGTGGCACTTCAAGGCACAGGGTTGGAGCCATATCTCTCCCTCTTTCTCTCTCTTTCTCTCTGCCTCTTTCATCCTGAGACTTTGGGTAGAAACAGATGCCCATGGGTTTGGAAGAGGCTTTCTCCCCAGCAGCTCAGGGGCCCATCTGCCAATCCTCTGATGTGGCTCTCCCCGTCACAACCCACCTGCAGGCAGCACGTGAAGGTCATTTCAGGCTTTAGTCTCTGGGCCGGAGGACAAGGCTACTTTCACACAGATGCCTCTTCCCTTATCTGCAGCCAGCACGGATTTCCCACTCTGGGCACAGGGCTGGAACCCGGGTGAGCCAAAGGTGAACCCGTAGGCACCCCCTGACTGTACGTATCGTCCTGTGCCTGAGAAGTCCTGTAACAGCACGTTCTGATGGAAATGAGACAGAGAACACGTTTGGGAAAGGAGGGGTGCCCAGGAAGGCCTCCCCAGGGATGTGACCATCTGCAGAAACTTGAAGGATATGAAGTCCGAGATTTGCCCTTTCAGGCCAAGGCGCTGCCTGGAACTCGGAGAGTGAGGAGGCAGGACCTTGTCCACTGTGCGAAGCTCTGAAAACTTTCAGTGGGAAAGTGGCAGGAGACGGTCCATTCTGAAAACCACCCACGAGATGGCTGGCCTGAGGGAAGGGGCCAAGGGGCGCCTGTCACCTCCGACTGTCTGACTAAAGGCAGAATAAGGGACTGCAAAGCCGCCTTGCGGAAACCTCCCTTCTTTTTATTTATTTATTTATTTATTTATTTATTTATTTAAATATGAAATTTATTGTCAGATTGGTTTCCATACAACGCC